ACGTATCGAACAGTGTAAAACAAGAGCAATTTTGTGTTATACCCATAGAAAAAAGAATATTGTAACTATAAGATACCGAAAAAACCGAGGAAATAACCATGGCATGGGGGAACAACTTGAAACACCAAAGATAGAGGTGGTAGTGGATTTTTTTTCAACACACAAGGATGATTTGATATCACCATTTGGAAGCGTTTGGTCCGATATATTCCACAGTTTATTTACATTTTTCTGGTGTGAAATACCCCAGATCCCTAGCCAGATCCAGAATTCACCATTATTTTTCAATCGGATAGAAAATGGTGTAATCACCTTTCGTCGTTCTTTATGAAACCTCCTGTAGATTCTTATTATTAGTTTGATACAAATGCGTTCGAAACTCATCAACTCTAGGTAAATAAATATACTCATCACGAATCTTTTCTGTCTATATTTATGTTACCTACCTATTATTTTGATGGGAGAATTCCTGAACCTTGAATTAACTGGATTGAATTAATCTTTGGTTGCAGAACTAATAGTTTTTCTATATCAATGATTCCATTCAACATATAATTTCTTATTGTATATACAGGGTGTATACAGAATAACGTTCGTACGCCTGGGGAGGAAATTTCACTGCTTAGTATAATGTAATATGAAAATAAATGTTTCTATATAAGATAGGCCCAAAAATGTTTCCTTAGAGCAAGAATTTATATCCCAAATCCACTGTGAGGGTATGTTCACTTAGTTGATTTATTCATAATATGTCTTTTCTTGATATTGTTCTTTCATCCTCACTGAGAGATGTCTCGATCTTCGTTTCACCTGTATAATACTTTCCACAAACACAATTGTTATTCATTTTTAGCTTTTATTTGAGTTAGAATGGATCTCATTGTATTTTCAGTTTTGATCATTCTAACTCAAACAAAACCGAAAAATGAAGAACAATCCTCAAAAAATTGTATTTATAGTATACTTCTGTTTGTGGGAAGTATTATACAGGTAAAACGAAGAGACCTGTCTCAGTAAGGATGGAAGAACACGAGTGCAATATCAAGAAAATACTTATCAATAAATCAAAGCTAACTGAATATATCCTTACTGAAAATGGACAGCATATGGCAGATTGAAATAATATTAAGATCATAGGGAAGGAAGATAACAACCACCCAGTCTTCTGAACGGAGACAATAGCATTGCTTCCTGTTCAGTTCAAAAATTCGATGTTTTTTCAATATATCTATATTTTTTCTCTTCAAACATTTTTCCAAGCAAAGTGTCACTGACAAGCTATTGAATTTTTTTTTAGGCTCACTGATAAAAAAATTTGTCTGATTTGTCCTACTACACATGTATCGAAATAATACTCATACTCTTACTTTATAAAAACGAGAAGAAAATCCTGAATAAAGTAAAATGAATGTACCACCTCCTCGATTAACCTACAGACAGTATTTATGGAATTTAAAAATGAGTGTTCTGTTTTTTGACAACCCGTTATATGATATATTCACTCATGTATATTTATTGTGGGATCAAATATATATATTTTTGTTCATGTTATTAGATCGTTTTACAATCAATAAACAACATTATTTTCCGTTAATATTATCAGTTATGAGTTGTAACATCAGTGAAAATAAACTTTAAAATAAACAGTACCTATAATAAGAGTACTGTTTATAGGTGAGATTCGAAGTGAGATTTATTCACCTGAATATATTAATCTGGAATGTTTGTAACATTATAAACACATCAGAGATGTTCCAGACATTTTATAATTATAATACATCATTACGGAATAGAACGTTCAGCATCAAGATTCAGATAGAATTAGGAAAGCAAATGTCTGATAATATATCACCAAATGTTTTGTTCGAGTAATTACCTAGGTCTTGTTTCAAAAACCAACGGCGTATCTTTTATACGCCGTTGGTTGGTAGGGCAAGTGAAAAGGGGGAATTTCGCATGTCCAAAATTCTATAAATATCATGACATGGACAAAAATAATGTGAAATCATTTACACCAATCAAACCAAAGAACATCGAAGATCAACTGGAGATTTAGATGCCTATGTCACCCATATGGCAAGCTTTATTAGAAAACCATTGGAACCTGTGGAGGTATAGATATATTGAAAGCATTCGACCGTGTTTGGTACCATGGACTTCTCCACAAACTATATATACCATCATACGGCTTATACCACCCAAGGTATGCCCGATTTTATCGAGTATTCTTTCAGGCAGATCGATCCATGTGGTGGTAGACAAAATGTCGTCTGATAGTTTAGTTTAGTTTTTTTGACCACGTTATGTACAAAAAAAAAATGATTTGTTGCAGGTCATGAACATTACATCTAATGGCAAATGTAGGGTAGTGAACACAAGTGCTTATAAATAGGTCATAAATCAATATAGCACACACACAAAAAAACAGTTTTGTCAAACAAAAACAACAAAAAAGTTAACATAGAATAGTTATTATTGTACCATGAGCCGAACACGGGGATCAACACATCGGCAAATAAATACGGTCAATGTCAGATTCAATTTCATTTTAGGTTTCGAAGAGCGTTCGTAAGAATTCCTCAGTTGTTGAAAACAGTGCTTCACAATGAATTTCCTCAGGAGATTTTTGAAGTGAGGATAGTCAGTATTGGTCAATTTGGTTGGAAGTACATTATAGAGCTTCAAATTCATGGAATTTTTTTGTGATAGTCGATATCTTGGAATTTGCAGTTGATTAGCAGACCTAGTGTTGTATTCATGATGATCACCCCGGACCTGAAATTTACTTTTGTCTTTATGGATTTCCAGTATCGAATAATAGATATATAGCGATAGCAGAGGCTTTATGGAATATTTAATGAATAGCGGTTGGCAGTGCTGACGGGTGCTTGCACCATCAGCAATGACTCGTATTGCCCACTTCTGCAAACGGAAAATTATTGCCTGGCGGACCAACAACTTTGTTGAATTCAACTACCAAAAATCAAAGCCTGTATTTTCTCTACAGAAAGGCGGAACTCAGTATACTTGCGCCACAAAGTCCAAAGTGTCAAATACTCTTTCATGGAAAAATCATGTCAGATTCCTCGCGAAAATTGCTTCACAAAAACTCGGATTTTCATATTTTGTGAAAGAATCTTCTTCACACCTCAACAGCCTCTCATGATCTACAAAGCAAGGATAACCCCTATTCTGGAATATTATCCCGACATATGGGGTTCAGCACCCAAACCTACGCTGATGCTAGATTCCATCCAGAGTAGAGCCATTCGCCTGGTGGGTGATGACACACCCACCAATGTAAAAACTTTAAACGATGATATTTTCACAAAATTCTTAGTCACACGACATGTTTCGCTAATATAGTAGCTTCGTCAGGTGGAATACTGGTACAATGAAATAATTACTTCAATAATCATTTCATCACTAGCAATACCAGTTATACGAACTCAACAAGCACAGTCAGCACATCCATTCGCCGTCAACCCTGAGATATGTCGAACAAATCTTTACCAAAACTTGCTTGGCTATTGAAGCCAAGGAAAGTATTATCGAGAACTCCAAATGTTACAAAATAATCCAATAACTAGGAGCTGAGTAACATGCATCGATATAGAATATTGGGAGAGGTAAACCGACGTGGAATTCTGGTATACAAACAATTCCCAGGAATTTCCTGGATTTCTTTGGAATTCCTTGGATTTCATTGGATTTCCTTGGATTTCTTTGGATTTAATTGGAATTCCCTGGAATTCCTTGGGTGAAGTGCTATATATTCCTGGTCTACAAACAACTGGAATTCTTCGGAATTCCTCGGATTTCCTTGGAATTACTTGGATTTCCCTGGAATTCCTTGGCTTTCCTTGGAATTCTCTTGATGAAGTGCGGTATAATTCTGGTGTATGAACAACTAGGATTCCTTGGATTTTCTTGGAATTCCTTGGATTCCATTGGATTTTCTTGGAATTTCTTGGATTTCCTTGAATTTTTTGAATTTTTTTGGAATTCTTTGAAAGAAGTGCGGTATAATTCTGATGTATGAACAAGTGGAATACCTTGGATTTTCTTGGAAATTCCTTGAAATTCCTTGGAATTAAGTTGATTTTCTTGGTTCTCCTTGGATTTCCTTGGAATTCCTTTGAATTCCTTCAGTTTCCTTGGAATTCCTTGGATTTTCTTTCTTGGAGTTTCTTGGAATTCCATGTGTGAAGTGCAGTATAATTCTGGTGTACACACAACTGGAATTCCTTGAAATTACTTGTGAAATTGAATTTTCATGCACACAATAATTCTGACCGCGGTTCACATCTCGAAAAATTGTAGATATCTCGAAAACGATCGCCTCCAGAGTTTTTGAGGAAGTGTACCTTTTTAACTTGGTAATGGTATGTGGAAATAAGGTTTTTCTCATGGAAAGTACCAAAAGTTCACTATCAAAAATATTAGGGCAATTTGATATAAATAATGACAGCATACGCAGCGCCCTCTAGATGTAATATAAAAATTATTACGAAATTATGATTCCCCACGTCGAAAAAAACCCGGGTACCAAATTTCATACAAATGACTCATTTTTTGTAGAAGTTATTCTTAAATTGCGAAAAAAAAATCGATTTCGACATCCTGTTAATCCGAAACGAAGCGGACACAAGTTTATATAGCCTTTTTTACTTAAAATTGTCACAGGAATACGTCACTTGAATATTTTAACGGAGTCATGTTTCACCCTGTATAGATGGGTGCTTTTGGGTACTTATATTCCTGATTTAATTGTGAACTTACATTAAATTTGTTCATTGAAAGAGTTCATATAAAATAAGTGATGTTTCTTTTTTTTTTCGAAATTTCACATTAATATTCCATTCAGTATCTATAGAAGGTTGCTAGATGATACCTACTGGAGGGTGTGTTTTGAATTGAAATTTTTCGATTCCATTTTCACCGCTTAGCGAGATAATTGAAATTCATCAAATTAATCTTGACAAACACTATTTTTTTACCTTATATTCAATACGGCCAACCAAAACGAAACTACGATCACTACGCTTTACAGTCACAAGAGTCGACAACAAAACAGCATCGGATAAAAAACAGCACGCTCTTTCCCGGATCAGAAAACCCCGACGATGCCTGTCAACCGCATCAATCACAAGGGCAGTTCACACCGTGCAACAACAATCAACACTCGGCCCAGAGAGAACCGATCCCACAGGTGACCCGCGAAATCTCGACCGCTGGCCCGGACAAAAAACAATGTCCTGGCGCGCTACCAGATCGTGTGCGTTCTGGTTCTGGCTGTTCACGCGTTGCAATCGCACATCGCGTGTCCGCTGTCTCGTCTGTCGGATGGGAGATAATGGCCAGGGCTGGTCGCAGGCGGCTAGGACGCTGACGCTGCTGTCCTTTGACTGGTCCTGAGACGGCGAGCGCGGGCCGTCGAGGATCAATATCGGCGGGCAGGCGAGGTACGGGCCGAGCGACGTTGCCGCGTCGAACGCAAATAGAGGATACACCATGGCTATATTCCGAATTCAACTGACAGTACTGAATCTGCTGATTTTTCATTCCAAAATCAAAAAATTCACTGAAACTGAGGCTATATTCCGAATTCAACTGACTACTGAATCTGCTGAATTTTCATTCCGAAATCAAAAAAATTGACTGAAAGTGACAGATACTCGTGAGCAGATATACTATTCATTCCAAATATTTCGACTCAACATTCTGCTGAAATTGCTGACTATCAAAAGGTAGTGTGGCTTCAGTGAACTGTCATTATTGTCAAAAGGAATGACACATTCATTTCCGTTGTTTTTCAAACATTAAGTCTTGGCTTATCAATAATACATTGATAATATCATTTTGATATCAGAAAATGCCTGTTATTTATTCAGCTCAAGCAGAAGCATCTGCCAGATCAATGACAACTGACAAATTTCACCAGCTGATCAACTGCTGCTGATTACTGATGAAAACGTGTTCCAAATTACAGCACTGTATTTTTGATTTTATATTTCGGAACACAGCTTTTCAGCAGAGTCAGTGGATCTACTGACAGTACTGACCAATTGAATTGAATATAGCCTGACAGATGCTTCTGAGCAGACATACTATTCATTCCAAATATTTCGACTCAACATTCTGCTGAAATTGCTGACTATCAAAAGGTAGTGTGGCTTCAGTGAATTGTCATTATTTTAGAGGGAAAAGAAATGTAACTTATATTTCCGTTGTTAATTATATTATTTTCAATATCAGAAAATACCTGTTATTGAATTGATATGCTGAGAATAATATCGAGTAAGTAGTAGAGGTAACGAAAGAAGAAGCAGCATTGGCTGAATAAATAACTAAATAAACCTGAAATGTCTCTTTGATTCATCATCCTTACGTTTTCCATGCATCTTTCAATGGGCGTGTACACCTTAGTAGAACTTTTAACTCAAACCATGTTTATAATGATCCTTTTATACATAAATAATGATTGACGACATAATTCGATCGAAAAATTAACTGGAATGTTTTATTTTTGGACATAAATAATAGTACCTTCTGAAAACGGACCCTCTTATGACGTAGAAACCTCATATCGCCATAGTTAAAAGAAAATACCAAACGTCCGACGGAGACTGAGGCAACTGATATATTAATTCTTTCAACTGTGATCTCGCACTAATTCACTCTGTCAGAAATTATGTATCATTCATCTCTGTCTGGAATAGTCTTGTTTCAGTATTGAGGTTTTGACGTCACATCATCGCCTCGTTTTCAGAGGTCCGAAAAATCGGGGATTTCAATTTTTTATAAAACGTAGGGAGCTCACAGCAAGAAACGGTTTGCAGCTTGGGTGAGTTCTATTGAATTATGAAATAAAAGTTTTTTGTGATATAAGACCATTCTCAATCTGGTGCATCATGAAAAATTAATGGCGACAAAATGTCCAAGTATTCTTCATCATTCGAGCTTGAAGCGTCATCGTCAACAATATTAGAAACTATGGAGGCTACAAGAATTTATTGATCTTCCATGTTAAATATTGAATTTCCAAAATATATATCAAGCAGGAGGCTAAATATCTAGTTCGGATAAACAAGAAACTACAGACTGACAAATTTCATCAGCAGCTGATCAACTACTGCTGACTACTGATGAAAACCATGAAAACGTGTTCCGAATTACTGCAGCACTGTTTGTTTGATTTTATATTTCGGAACACAGATTTTCAGCAGATTCAGTGGATCTACTGACAGTACTGACCAGTTGAATTCGGAATATAGCCCATATAGCAGATTATCTCCTGAGATACATCCATCAAAAACGTCAAATGTCAGATAAAAGTTTCCCAAGTAAAGAGTTGACAACAAAAAATTGATTCGTTCATTCTAGTCCAGAATACGGCCGATTTCCAATTCAATCGGTATAACGGGTGAGTGAAAATTCGATAAAAGTTTAATAACAATAAAAAACAAACAGCATCTTGCAACCGCCAAAAATGCAATGGTACATCCGCCAAATTATTGAATTTGTATCCACCAAATATAAAAGAATTCACCAAAATGACCATTGATCTCAATAAATGCAAACTTCTAGAAATAATCAACAGGCATATTATACGTTAAATATTATATGTAGGTTAATCGAGGACGTGGTACATTCATTTTACTTGATTTTTTGGGATTTTCTTTCCTCATTTCTATAAAGTAAAATGAATAGGCATATTACGTGTCCCTGAATGCTCCACAAAATATGCTTCATTCGAATCGCTAATTTATCAAATAACTTTACAAAAGTGAGAAAGAAAGAGAGAGTTGGGTCCTCAATGAGTTAGGTGGTTTATGAGTTGGATCGTCGATCAATTGGGTCATAAGTGAGTCGGGTACTAATGAAATGAGAATTTTGATAATAGTTAGTTGGTGACAATTTCAAACGAGTTTAAAATCCCTATCGTGTGCGTAATTAGGGAGGATAAGAAGAGAAGGTAAGTAGCTATTGGAATGTTTTTGAACTTGGAATTCTTGGAAATACTTCCTTCCCTCGTCTTCGACTCGGAATAATTTTCAAAAAAATTTTATTTTCTCGAAAGTTAGTGAAAATATACTTCTTTATGTCCTAAATACACTGGATTCGAAATACTCATTTTTTGACCTTATTTTGACTTGAATCGTAAATTCTCGCGTCAAAATATATTATTTTTCAAAAAAGTCGATGGGCTTTTTGTTCGTTGAAATATCTACTTTCTGATGGCGTAAAAAAATATACAATACATCGCCATGGTAAATGTTCTCAAAAAATGGAAAAAAACGGAACTTGAATCAAAATTATGTTTTAATCAGTATATACAATTTTGAGCTAATTTTATTAAAATAAACACAAATAATTACTTGAATAACGTAAGATTCTGTTACATTGTTAAAAAAAATGTTGAATCCATAAAACATTAAGATGACAAAAAACATGCGAAAATAGTTGTTCTAAATAATAAAGATGGGATTTAAAGGAGATTTCATCTCAAAAGTGTGAATTTAAAATTTTGAAGATAATTGAAGAGTAAAATTGTTATTTGAATAATGAATTACTAAAGGGAATACTGATTGGCGATGTATCAAAATGTTCACATAAATCTTCGAAAACTTAATTTATTTGCAATTTTATTAGGTTGCTTGATGAAAATTCAATCGATCACGTCATAGTGTCGCCATATTGATCTAAAATAAATATCTCCAGCGCTACCATTTCAAAAACAAATGTCCACTTGTGTGGGTGTAATTGAAAAGGATATTCGTTGCTCTATCAGATGACGTAGAAATATCTACAGGGCTCCATTCAGAATTCTTGAGCGAGGTTTATTTATGGTGAAACTTTATCTTTGAACCAAATGTCAAATAAACGATATCAAAAACAATTGAATGACGCTCTGGCCAATGACGTCGTTGCCACCCGGTATAAACGTATTATACTTTTGAGATTCAAAACACTTCAGAGCTAACAGAAAACATTGTTTCAAATCTACTAATCAAGTATTGGTATATGTGGATAGTGACATCAGATGCGCAGCGATCTGATGGTTAGATCTCATTGAACTCAATGTAAACAACTGGAAGGGAGACTGCCGTTTTCTCGAATAGCACAGAGTGTGTCAGGGGCAGCTGCAACAAAGATAGCATGTGTTACGGTAACCTGTCTCTTTCACACTCGTGTTGTTTAATGGCGGATTGGTGTATACATTTTCTTTAATCCAATAATTGGAGTACTTCAAATCTTTTTTTTATCTAAACAGACAAAAAAGTGAAGACAGCACTTCATTGTGTTTTGTTGTGGGATACCGCTGAATTTGGAGTGTTTTGTTTCTTCAAAGGGACTGAATTTGTTGGTGTGAATTGATTGTTGTTGAAAAGGTTTGTGATTTCGAATTGATAAACAATGGTTATTCATATTGTGTTGCCTTTGGATACAAAACAAGCAAGACAAACAGAAATTGTCCTCCATGGGTAAGTTGAAAATTGTTCAGATTCTTAGAAAAACTGTGGTTATTTTCTATTGCAAAGAAAACTGAAAACACTGAAACAAAAAGTAAAAACGGGAATGACAATCTTGATGAGGTACTTAAAAACATTTTGATGGATAAAACGACAAGTTCAAATTATTAAACTAAAGAGCTACAAGCCTTTGGAGCTTCTCCTTCTCTAGAAAGGAAGAAATGGAGGTGAACATTCTGGGCGACACAGATATTCATCTTCAATGAAACAATTCGTCCACACATTGTACTTTTATTCACCTTTCATTCACCTTCTAATAGTGAAATGTTTATGGAAAAATAGGTACTCTTGAAAATTAGGCTTAAAATAGACCTTAGGTACTCAATACCATTCAAGAACGCAAGAACCTTTCTTCAAATTTTTTCCATCGTTTTTCTTTTTCTTCTGATAGTGCTGAAACACAATTTTGTATTCATTTGACTTCCTAATCCTGTAAGAATAAAAATGAAATTTTACTTTCGAGTCAATAAAAAAATCAATAATAATTTTTGAATGAAAATTGATTGCAACATTATCCTTTTTCCTAAATGAATATTTATATTTAATCACGTTTACTCTTGAATAAAAGCAAAAAACGGGAACATATTTCAAGTAAGGCGAGCGCTTCCCATTAACCAACATAAGATAGAAAGAGATAGGTATCCGTAACCACTGCGGGTTGCCTGAACAATATTTTTGCCTCACTCGTCGTTCACAGAGGATCCCTTCCAGGTGTTTACATTGAGTTCATTGTTAGATCTATATTGTTCGCCATCTTCTTCTGCTTTTTCATCAAGGGTTTCATTTTCATAGCAGCTCTTTGGGCTATAATTCTTCAAAGAAATTCAAGATTTCGGGAGGATTTATTAGTGGTATTTCTTCCACAGTCATCTAT